CATTTTTAATTTTCTCACCCAATGTTTAAAATTGCGTATTCGGGTATTGAGGCGTTTTTCATTCGTGAGGCGAGGCGTAAGCCTCAAGGCGTTTTGAGGCGTAAGCCTCAAAATCAAAAGATTGCGTAAACATAAAAAAGATAATTTTTTTATATACTAATGAGTGAATAATATAAAACATAAAAAAGCATACAGCTTCCCGGCGCCCATGATAACCCTCCCGATGTTCCCAACCAGCACCTCTTGGTTCCACACCTCCATTGCCTTGCCTTTCCCCATATCTTCCTCCTCTCTCCTCCCTCTGGAAAGGCTCCAAATGAGGCATTCCCCTACTCCCTTCCACGATTTCCACTTCCTCTTCCTTCCGATGGATTTCAGAGTTGGCGTTCTTCGCGGCTGGCCCTTTTGCATCAAACGCCGCCGATTGGGTTTGAAACTCCAATATCTTCTTCATCATATCCCGTAGATCGGTCACTTGTCTTTCCATGGAAGACATTCTTTCCTCTACGGTCTCCTTGATTTGATTTATCTCTCCTTCAATCCTCTCCTCCAAAGCATCCACCTTCTTACCCGCCATCTCCTACGGCTTGCAATTTATGAGAAGATCTAAAAAAAAATTCAACAATTTTCTTCTTCGCCGGTACAATTTCAGCCGCTGAATTTGGTCAAAAACAGCCCACGATATGTCCCAAGAGTTGCTATGATACCAATTTGATAGGAAATACTTGATTTCAAGTATTTCCTGTTCACTTATACAACAAATCTCAATGCAAACTGCTGTTCACAGCAGGAAAACAGCAAAAACAGGGGAAATCTGAGAGAAAAATGGAGAAACGACTTGTATTTTACTAGTAAATGCAAGAAAAATAGCAAAGATACAAGGATCCTCTATTCGAGAGGAGGATCGCACTCTCCCAATCTCTAGAATTCGTTCTAGAGCACTAACCACCAAAGAGAAAACAAAAGAACTCTTACACAATTTCACATAACCCTAACCCTAGCCTTTTCTCCCTACTTACTGCATACAATTCAAAATAGATACAAAAGGACCTAATTGCCCTTGCTTCTCCTCTTTTTGGCTCCAAGATTGTATTTGAATCTCAAGTGGACCCCACCTTTTCCCCCCTCTTTGAAGCCGCCGGCCCCCTCTTGCTGTAAACTATCAGGACCGGCCCATGGGGCTAGGCCGGCTGGATCGGTCCATGGAGGACCGGTCTAATAGTGTTCAAATAAGTTTTTATAATTTTATGAATTTTTAAATAATGTCTTTATGAATTTTTAGAATTCAAGTTGGATGGTTGAAGTGGAGGAATGCTTTGGGTTTGTTGTGTGATAAAAAAGTACCACTTAATCTTAAGGGAAAATTTTATAAGATAGTGATGAGACCTGCAATGCTTTATGACACAAAATATTATCCATTAAACAATAATCATAATATTAAGTTAAGTGTTGCTGAGATGAAGATGCTTATGTGGATAAGTGGACTAACTCTTTGAGCGGGATACGAAACGAGCATATTTGGGAAAATGTTGGAGTAGTTCCAGAGACATATAAGATTTGAGAGAGTCATCTTAGATGGTTTGGTCATGTAAAACTTTGGCCTTCCGATGACACTTTTAGGAGAGTAGATGTATTAGATGACCTATGTTAAGAAAGGTAGAGGTAGACCTAAAAAACCATTGTTAGAAAATATTAAAAATGACCTTTCTTTATTAAATTTAAATGAGAATGCGACTCTTAATAGGACACAATTGAGAAAAAAGATTAATGTAGCCGACCCCACATAGTGGGATAAAGGCTTGATGTTGTTGTTGTTATCATCGTCTTATATGACTTTGTTTGAGTACTTTTTTTTTTTGTAGAAAGCAATAATGCATTAATCAATAAAAAAGTAGCAAACCTACAATGTAGATTCCTCCTTCAAAAGATTAACAAATGAAAGAGGAATCTCATTTAAGCTAATGTCTTCCCAAGCAAAGTTAGAAATAAGAGCAAAGCCAGCACACATCTCAGCTAGCTTGTTATTGTTCCTATCTATACATTTGAATAGAACAAAATTAAAATAATTGAGAAAATGTAAATCTTCCTCACCTTTGAAACCATCGTTCATTGCTTGTTGGAGAAAGGTGATAACGTTTAAATTATCACTTTCAATAATAACACCTTTGAATTTGAACATTCAATCTTTAATTGACTCTTTCAGGGATTTGATAGCAAGCAATTCCAGTTGGTAGATATCCCAATGAATTTCGGATTTCCCATAAGCCATAAAAAATCTTCCTCTATCATCACGTATGAAACCTCCCATTCCAGCTCTATAATTGGAGTTTAGAGATGCATCTACATTTATTTTGATCCAATCGGGTGGAGGAGGATGCCAAGAGTTAGACAGTCTAGAAGACTGATGAGCACCGCACATGTCCGAGCTTGATCTGCATACCAATTTTGAGATAGAAGAGTAGCTTACTGCATTTGCTGCAATAGTTGTGGAACTTTCTTCCAGCTTATCATAAATAAATTTGTTCCTTGCTTTCCAAGAAAGGAAAATGACATTGCAAAATAGATTACTAAGAAATCCATTTTTATGAGCAATGATATCCATCCAAGCACAGCAGCTTTCCATCTCATCAAATAGAGGAATGTTGAATCCCCATTTCTTTAATAAAGAGAAGACATGTCTTACTTTGATACATTTGATAGTAATATGCTCTACATCTTCCACATCTACACCACATCTTGGACAGATAGCAGAATTATGCAGCTTTCTTCTAGTAAGGAAATGAAAAGTTGGAATGGAATCCTTCAATAATCTCCACCAAAAAGTTTCAACACGAGGGGATAGCCTAGCTTTTTTGATCCACTTGACATAGTTCGGTTCAGATTGGCCATACTGAATATTATCAAATGCTAGAGCTGATAAAGATTTCCCTGAATTTTGGGAAATAAGTTCTCGGTAATCTTCTTGGGCTTGTTGATCTATAGGAATTTGATTTATAAGCTGAACCAGATCCTTCCCAAAAAATTTAAGAAGTTCTTCTACAACCCAAGCTCTGTTTTTAATGAATATGTTAACCAATATAATTTCATCTTCTTGAGGAACTACAAAGGCAGGCCATTTGTTTAAGCTTTTGTCCAGGATCCAATATCTCTATAGACATCAATAAAAGACCCATTTGCAATCTTCCATCTAGTCAAGGATAACAGCACACTGTTACCGTCCAAGATCAATTTCCAAGCACTTTGTTTGAGTACTTGAATATATCTTTGACCCTTCTTCGATCATGTCAAATTATTTTTGAAGATGTGGAGATGGTTTGATTAAGGGTTCGAATAAGGTTTAATTATTTTATAAATTTTCTTAGTAATGTTTTATAGGAATCTGTTTGAATACTTGGATATATCTTTGACTCTTCATTTACAATATCGTTAAAGATATGTGAAGAAGTTTGCTTAACTATTTGAGCACTTACTCAAACCTAGCTTCTACTCTTTATCGATCATGTCAAATTATATTTGTAGATGTTTGAAGAAGTTCGATTAAGTATTTGAATAAGATTTAATTATTTTATAAATTTTTTGAACAATGTGTTATATAAACTTGTTTAAAGGATTAATCAAAGCCATCTTTGATCCTTTGTCGATTAGGTCAATTTATGTTTGAAGATATGTTAATAATGTTCGATTAAATGTTCAAATGCGTTTTTATTTTATTTTATGAACTATTAGAATAATGTCTTGTAGGAACCTGTTTGAGTACTTGAATCTATCTTCGACCCTTGTTCGATCGTGTCAAATTATCTTTGAAGATGTGTGGAGATAGTTTATTTAAGGGTTCAAATAAGTTTTAATTTTTTTTATAAGTTTTTTTAATAAATTTTTATATGAATCTATTTGAACACTTCAATGTATCTTTCACCCTTCTTCGATCATATCAAATTATCATTAAAGATATGTGAAAGTGGTTCAATTGAGTATTCAAATATGTTTCAACTATATAGATTTTTTGAATAATATCTTCTATGAACTTGTTTGAACACTTAAGCGAATATTTCTTCTATAATTTACTGATCATGTCAAACTACTTTCAAAGATTTGCCTAAGAATTTTCATTAAAGTGTTTGAGTAAGTTCAAATTATTTTATAAATTTATTGAAGAATATCTTGTATGTATCTTATTTGAACACTGACTCAAACCTAAGTTTGACTCTTCATCAATCATATCAAATTAATTTTGAAGATTTGTCAAAGAAGGTTTTGTTAAGTCTTCAAATAAGTTTAAATTCTTTTATATTTTTTTAATGTTGTCTTATTCAAATCTATTCGAATACTTAATGAATCTATCATTGATCCTTCATCAATCATAATAAATTATCTTTAAAGATGTGTTAAAGAAGATTTGATTAAATATTCAAATAAATTTCTGCTATTTGATTAGTTTTACAAACATAACATTATTTTAATTTTATTATTAATGTTGGCCACGACTGAATTAGATGAGCACTTAGCAATCAAAATTGTGGGTATTTTGATCCAGAGGAAATCTTTGGGCATATTTTCAGGTGTATTTCTTCATATATATATATATATATATATAAAACTTTGTAAAGCTATAACAAGAAATTTAATATTCATTCATATAAGTGCATATATTAATTTTATTGGCTATGTAATTATGAATGCATGTGTATTTGTGACGAATATAATATTTCAAGCATAATTTTCAGTCCTTGCCAAATCCAGGGCAATTATCATTTGTATTTTTAGTTTGAAGAAATCCTCTTGCTTTTTTTTTCTTTCGGCTATTCTCTTTTTTTGAGCAATTAAATAATTGAGCAATTAAATAATGACATCCTTAGATTTTTATTTAATAGCAAAGAACACATCGGCTGTGCAGTACTAGCAATGTTTTCTGTTGAATTATAGATAACATTCATATACTATGTATGTTTGCATATGTTTCTCACTTACTGATCCTGTTCTGTGTTCATCCTGACGTGTAGTTGGGAAAATTTCTCGGCGCGTTAGCTTAGTTTGCTATCCGGAACCAGGTGAATTTGATAAGCCAAGTTTTGGCACATCGAGCTTGAGTGGTTTAAGATCTGCAGGTAAGTAGTAGATTTAGCTTATTCTGAAAATATGCTTTAATTTTTCTAGTTATGTTATGAGTGTTTCTTTTACTATTCTTTGACCTGTAAGTTTTATTAATATATATACTTTTTTTAATTCAGTTTCTCTTATAATGTCTTTACCATTTAATCTTAGCTATTATTTCTGTTGAAATCAATTGCTAACTTCAACATGAAAAAGACCTTTCCACTTGAGTTGATATTATGCCATTTTCGGTAAACTGGTTTTTTAAAAATATTTTTTTAATATATGAAGTTTGGAGATTCTTTGATTCCTACAAAATTATAAATTCCAAATAAGTTCAAGTTTTATAAAATTTTCTGAGGAAAGCTGAGATTGGGCCCCAAAATCATCCCAAAGAAGTTTCTAATGCGCTTAACATTTTTTGAACTGGGGATAGCTGACAAGGGACATTAAGGCTTCGTTTGGGACGGCTTTTTTATTGCTTCTTAAAGCAGCTTTCTCGTAGAAAAAAATTAATTTTGGTACTATAAAGTTGCTTTAAGAAGCAGTAAGAAAGCCGTCTCAAACGAAGCCTAAGGCTTTGTTTGGGACGGCTTTCTTCCTGCTTCATGAAGCAGCTTTTTAGTATAAAAATTAAAACTTTTGTACTAGAAAGCTGCTTTATGTAGTAAGAAATTCGTCCCAAATGAAACCTAAATTGATTGTCTGACTTATGAATATATTCAGAGCTTTTTTTAAAAAAATATTTTAGTATTGTGGTGCATTTTCACTTATTATTTTCAAACTTAGGCCATTTTATCATTTTCTCAGGTTCAAAGATGAAAGCATTGTCCCATCTCTCAACCATACTTAGGCATGGAAGCCAAACTGCAACTGCTGGATATTCCCGTGGGGCATTAACTTCTGGCCGTAGTCTTGGACAGGAACTACTGGAAACTCCACATCAACAATCCAGGAAAAAGAAACAAGAGGTCTGCACACCTGCATCAGTATCTGCAAGGTCTATTGGACGTTCTTCGCTTGCTTCTGAACCTGAAAACCAGATGGCCAGCACTGCAACTGGATCAGCAAAATCACATGGAGAGAAAAAATCAAAGAAGAGGAAGATCAAGGCTGAAGTGTAGCTTAATTCTAGGTAACCTTTTGCTGAATTTAATGAATTCTCTTATCGACTGATAATAGAATATAATATCTATTTAATTATTTATCTAGTGAGAAATGTTCATCATCAACTGAAATAACGTTTGCTCTCATTTTAGCCTTCGACAGTTTATAATTTATTATCTTATGGCTTTTGTGATCACAGCATGCCTGATGTATTCAATTTTTTTTATTTGGCCTCTTCTTAAGTTTAACTAAACCAGTTTGATGTTGCTCCCACCATTCGCAGCAGAAGGCTAATCAAAATTTATCCGAACATTTTGAAGCGGCCTGTGGTGAGGTACTTCCTCTTGTTTTCCTGTGGACATATCATTCGTGTTGGCCATCCTAGCACCTCCCCAACTTTAGAGAAGCTTCATTAAATTTTGGCCTTATTTGGGACGACTTTTTTACTGTTTTTAAAAGCAGCTTTCTGGTACAAAATTTTTGTGCTAAATAGCTGCTTTAAGAAGCAATAAGAAGGTCGTCTCAAACGAATTTTTAGGCTTCATTTGGGGCGGCTTTTTGACCGCTTCTTAAAGCAGTTTTTTATATAAAAACTTAAATTTTTGTATTAGAAAGTTACTTTAAGAAGCAGTAAGAAAGCCGTCCCAAACGAATGCTTAGATTTTATTTGGGACGGCTTTCTTATTTAATTTTATATTTTAATAAGCTCAAATTTGATTTTTGAGTCCTTATATTTCAATGACTACTAATAAAAAAGGAAAGAAATGCAAGCAATTATATTTGTAGCTACAAGTCATGATAAATGAATTAATGGCATTCTATGAAGATATGCACATATTTTGAGAGAATGCAACCCTCAATCCAATAACTTGCACCGCCCAAACAACCTCTGTTTTACCAATTGATTTTGAGCTTTGCTGATAAACAAGCTCAAATATTGTGGGATTGGTTCATTTAATTTTACTTCAAGTCTAATACAAGTTAAAGGCTGATTTGTGGCCAAGTTGCTTGCAAGCGTCTGTAGTGGTCATAACCCTTGCAAAGATCAGGATCTCAATGCAAAGAACCAATGTTTAAATTTCGTCAAATTAGGACTGGTAGGGGCTATTCCATCTGTGGCTTCCATTGTCAGGAGTTGCCTAAAAATTTGACCAAACACTTAAAAATTGCTCAAAAGATAGAGCTTCTTGCGTCATAAGAACATCTGGCTGGAATTAGGGCTCGTTTGTTTCCACGTTATTCCTCATGTTTTCTGTTTGAAATGGAAAATGCAGTCGTGGAACATGTTTGGACGTGAGCCATACTTTTTTAAGAACTCCATTTCTCTATTGTTTTGAGAAGCATTATATATTAGCTTCTCCGTTTAAAAAATGCCTTTCCTCCTTTTGCATTTTTGATATCGAAACGGAAAATAAATCAAACGAAGCCTTAATGATGTAGCACATACAACTAGAATTAGACTTACTATCAGAATGTAGGTAAGGAGAACCATACTAGAAATAGATGGGACTCGTTATTAGAAGCCAGATGAAGAAAGCTTAGAAAAATTTTATGTTGTCTTCATTGTTTGGACATTTTCATTGTACTTATGTTGTATATGTATTGTACTTAATTTAGAGTGCATTAATGTGGATTTCAGTGTTTCCCATGTGATCATGTGTGAGTGTGGAGTGTCGAATGGAGTGGAGTGGATGACCGAGGCTTTGGAGGGAGTATTTATGGGTGGTTATAAGTTTGTGTGGTCGTCCCCTCTTGTTATCCCAAACCCTTTGTTTGAATTGCTTTGTGTGTTGTATTTAAGACTCCATTTGTGAATGAAAAATGGAGGTTGTTGTGGAAGAAATTTCAGAATTTAAAGGGGAAGAATTGGTGGCTTGATCCAAGGGAGAAAGCTTGGTTGCTTAATCCAAGAGCATGGTTTGGTGACCATGCTTCTCTTGCACTAGACTTTGGTGAGACTTTATGCTTTTCTTTGTGTTAGTACCTTTGTTTAATCTTTTGTGAAATTTTTGTGAAGCGTTGCCTTTATGTTTAGTGTTGTGAATGTGAATTTTCCTTTTCTATCCCAACTCCTTTTCGCCACATTTTCCCTATTTTAAATGGTTGGACATGGGTGAAGGAGATCCTGACTTAATTGGGTTCTCTTATGCATTTGGTGGATAAACCTAGTCTTAATGTAGTGAAAATTTCTAGAATTGATCTATACACTTAATAGATCAATATCCTCATAATTTTCCCTTTGTTTTTACTATTTGAATTGCCCTAAAACCCTAAAACGGCAAACCTTTGTTTTTTCAAATTTTTACTTTGTTCAATCATCTTAAAAATTAAAAATAAAATTTATAAAAATTGATGAAAATCTTGCTGAAGATGCCCACTTTCATTATCAAGTAAAATTTCTAAAATCCACCAAATATTTTGAAATATGGAACTATTTTCTCATAGTTGGTCAGTTTTGGATAGATTTGATTAGAACTGACCAATGTTGAGTCCAAGATAAAATTAACCATTTTAAACCCCACCCATTGATTGTATCAATTCCAAATCAACATTATACACCATTTTAAATATATTCTATCAATTTTGCAAGAAAGTTTCATCATTAAAGAAATTCATTAAAAGTGGGTCTCAAAGATGACCCCTACAGATAATATTCTCGATTGTTGACACCTTGAACAATTCTCCAAGAAATTCCATGGCTTTCCAACTATATTCTCAGACTGAAGAAGATCCTCGCCTAACCTTCATTCGTGCCCTTTTGCTCGAAGAGCAAGTGGAAAAAATAAAAGAGCTACTATGTGAATTTAGGAATTGTTTTGGCTGGACACATGATGAGTAGTCCAGCTTATCCCAAGATGTAGCAGTTTATAGATTGGCTATTAACCCAGATATTATGCCCATCAAACAAGTTCCAAGGAGAATGAGATTAGAGATTACAGAACAAATTATTGCAGAGATGAAGAAGCTCATAGATGCAACTTTATTTGTGAAGAAAATTATGTCGATTGGATATTCAATATTATCCCTATCATGAAGAAGAACGATAATATTCGAATCTGTATCGATTTGAGGAACCTCAACAAAGCCTGTCTAAAAGATGACTTTTTGCTCCAAATATCAGAATTGATAGTTGATAACACATCCAACTACGATATGTTCTCTTTTATGGATGATTCGTCATGCTACTGTCAAATCAAGATGGCGTCTGAAGATGAAAAATACACATCATTCGGAATGCCTATCAGCATATTCTGCTACGGTCATATCCTTCAGCCTTAAAATTGCTGGTGCCACCTACCAACTGGCGATGACACACATTTTTGATGAATCTATACATCAGAAGGTCGAGTGTTATGTAGATAACATTGTCGTCAAGAGCATGGACTAGAAAAACAATTTAAGTGACCTGAGGATCATATTTGAGAGGATCAAAAAGTTTGATCTTAAGACGAACTCTCTAAAATACTCTTTTGGGGTCTCATACGGAAATTTTTTAGGGTACATCATTCGTCACCGAGGAATCAAGATCGAACCCAACAGAATCAAGATCGACCCCAACAAAATCAAGGCGATTATGGAGATGTTGCCTCTTAGGAACCTTCGACAACTTTGTTCTTTGCGAGGGCAGCTGGATTTTATTTAGTGATTCATATTGAATCTGTCAGGTAGATGCCAACCATTCTCCAAGCTGATGAAGAAAGCTGTCCACTTCAAATGAGACACGGAATGTCAGGAAGCTTTTGATAGTACCAAAAGATACCTATTAAATCCTCTCATTCTCACAACATAAAATCTAAGGAAGCCTCTTATATTATATATGCAACATTAGAAGTCTTTCAGAGTATTATTGGTGTAGCACAATGAAGAAGGCAAGGAGAAGACACTCTATTTCATTAGTTGGAGGCTGATTAGAGTAGAAGTATGTTATTCTCTAATTGAGAAGTATTGTCCGGCATTACTTTTTTCATTCTAGAAACTCCGCCACTGTATATTATCTAAAACAATTATGTTGATATCAAAGATCTATCTGCTAAAGTTCTTGATGAAAAGACCAGTATTGAAAGGTCACCTGGCCAGGTTGACAGTGATACAACTGCAATTTGATCTCACGTTTATAACACAAAAAATTAGTTAAGAGGAAGGCTTTAGTAGATTTTCTCGCTACACATTAATTCCCCGCAAATTATTTGCTCAACGATGATTTTCCCGACCAACAAGTTACACGGGTTGAGGAAAAGGAGAAATTACAAGTTTGGGAGATGTATTTCATTAGAGCATCATCGATTAAACTTGTCAGCCTCTAAATCTGGCAAAAGCTTGAGCTGGTTTTGGTCTCATTTTTATAGTGCATGAAGGAGGCATAATGAGGTTTTCGTTCAGTTTGGCTGAACCTTAAACCAACAATGAGGCGGAATACGAAGCTCTAATAGCGGGTATAGAATTGCCATTTTAGTCAGAATATAGAACCTCTAAATCTTTGGTGACTCTAAACTTGTGATAAACTAAGTTTTGGACATTTATATGATTTGTAAGCTTGAGTTGGCCCTTTATGGTCTGCGAGCTCTCAAGCTTCTAAAATAAGTGTCAAACATTAAGATAGCTCGAGTTCCTCATAGTCAAAATGACAAAGCAGATTGCGCGAACAAATTAGCCAAGGAGATGACAAATACGGACAATGAGGAACCTATATTGATTGGAATTTACTCTTGTCGGGTATTAGAGGAAACCCTGGATAGAGGGAATACCAAATTCAAGCCAGCAAGATATAACTCCGGTTGATCCACGACCTACCCAATAAACAACTCTTGAAAATAATCCAGAAGAACACTATGTAACCAAAAAACATAAATCCAGTAGATGCTCGGAGTTATGGTTACATTGTTTAGACATCATAGAAGAAGATGATTGGAAACAACTTTTCATCGACTACTTGAAAGAAATAAACTCCAAACATATAAATCTCTAATCACGCAAATCTGGAAGAGAGCAATGGGATATACATTTGTCAACGACATGTTATATCGACTAGCTTTTGATCAAATGCGGCTAAGATGCTTAGGGATTAAGGAAAACGATAGAGTGGTAGCAGAAGTTTATGAAGGACTTTATGGCGCACACTAGTCATGTCCCAAGATGACTACTAAAATTAAGAGAATGGAACATTACTGACAAAAAATGATAAAAAATTGTATTGAC